CAATTCAAAAAGAAGTTCACAGACACTCCGATGGCAGAAAGCACACAGGTTTATATATACTCAAAATATTAAAGGGAAATGTTTCAGGGTCAAGAAAATACAATTCCAACCGCACAGTACAATGTTTTTAACATATCTATTGATGTAAGTAATTATACGTATATAAAAAATGCAGCTAAAATAGTTAAGACTGACACAACAGTACAGATGATGAACAGCTATACATGTTTACTGAAGCATTATCATTTTTGGGCGAGATGCTAATGGTCTAGTCCGATTCAATGATCTATGCTAATAGTGCACGGCTGAACCAGGGATTGGCTGAAGGAAGCAAACAATGGTAAAACAGTACTGTTTACCTCTGGAGGAGCTGTAAAATGGGTCTTTTTTCTCTTTACAAAAAAAAGAGTTTTCCTTTAGGCAACAAGCATTTCCTAGCAGCATAGCAGGAAATATTCTGCATGTTAGGAGTCAACTTTTTTTTAACAGATCAGGATACCCAGATAGCAAGAATATTTGGGCCAAATGTGTGTAATAGCTGGGACATGTGGCGTAGGTATGGCATGGCTGAACAGATATGGGCCAGATCTAGGCCAAAGGAAATTTATAGACTGAGATACAGGGAAATATATGTAACATATCATTAGGGAATAACCTGATATTTTTCTCAACAGTCTTGTAACACTTGTTGGCTTGTAAACTGGTAAAGCAGGGGTCTCAAATTGACAGGGAGCCGATTCAGTGACTGACAATTCATATTCCATTTTGACCTTCAAGGACAAGAAAAAAAAAAACAACAACAAAAAAAAAGAGGAAACCTGACATAATCAATTTATCTTAGGACAACAGACATGACGTTTATATTTAAAGCATTACCTGTCACCAGTGATAATGCAAATCAGCATGTTTATCGTGTCACACATCAGCTTCTGAAATATATCTGTGGCTGTTGTGTGTATGGCCAAGTGTTAGACACACACTCAATCATTCTTCCACTGATGTAAATTTTATGCAAACCTAATAAGCATGAGGAAAATCTATTAATTGAGACCATTTAAATGGAATGTCATCAAAATGATCATATTTGTTACACTACCAGAATAACGTTTAAGCCATGATGAAGTGTTTGTACAACAAAATACAAGTGGAATAAAACTGATGATAATCAAACGACCCTTGAATATTAAAATAGAGCACTTATGGACATACATTTCAACGTTTAAATCTATGGAATAAAATCACTGTCATAAATATTTCGCGTGTAAATAATTCACGCATGTGTAATTATAAAATCGCAAAGGAAAACGGAGCGTACTCGTTATTTTACGAGGTTACAATTCTAAAATCTGCACTGATACGTCATTTGCTTTGTCTGTTTGTATATGACTGATAAATTTACGATGGGTGGACTTTACAAACACGAAACAGAGTTTCATCACAGACACAAAGTCCTGATTGCGAGTACGAATTAAACAGCGACACTACACTGTCAAAATTACATCACCGCTGTCACAGGCATTAATAAACAAGCGGGAATCATCTATCACAACAGCGCGCCAGGTAAGAGAATTGGAATTGTACCCTCAAAAAATAAAGTTTTCCTTGACGATTTTATAATTACGGATGCCTAAATTATTTACACACAAAATATTTATGACAGTGATTTTATTCCATATAAATCAGCCCCAGATATAAAATGTGTGTTATTGTCGACCGTACTGTGAGAGAAAATTAAAGTAAAACACACTTTACAATAAGGTTCATTAGTTAAATGTTAATTAATGCATTTACTAGCAAGAACAAACAATGACTACCATATTTATTCATGTTAGTAAGCGTTAGTTAATGAAAATACAGTTGTTCATTGTTAGCTCATGTTAACTCATGGTGCATTAACTAATGTTATCAAGCATGGACTTGGATGTTAATAATGCATTAGTAAATGTTTAATTATGATTAATAAATGCTGCACAAGTGTTGTTCATGATTAGTTCATGTTAGTAAATGCGTTAACTAATAAAATATTGTAAAGTGTTACCGTAAAACTTATCTGAAAGACATGACTGCACAATGATAGTGGTTCAAAAATATATGTTTTAGCAGGCCGAATCGCATTATATTTTTGACACCAGTTGCGGGCCGGAGGGAGAAGGTGGGCGGGCCATAAAATGGCACACGGGCCGGCAGTTTGAGACCCCTGCGGTAAAGGTTACTTCAGTAAACTTCTATATGCAAGTCATGGTGTGCATGTAAATTATGTCTGATGAACATGTTCTAGTTCAGTCTGTTAGTATAAACAGATTAATGTTAAAAGATTCCCCATTAATCATTCATTCATTTATTGTGTTCTCTGATGATGTTTGTGTGAGTGGATCTCTCATCTGACGCTGCTGTAGATCACAGCACAGGAGTCTTCCACTGTTTCAGTATTTGGTCGGCTGAAAAAACAACACAAAAACAACACAATATTACAGGTCAAATAATCAGTGCTGGTAGATTCATTTTACGCTCCTGTAGAGTTAAAGAGTCGAGTTTTACCATTTGTAATTCATTCAGCTTTTCTCCAGGTCTAGAGGGAGCATTTTTAGCTTAGCTTAGCATAGATCATTGAATCAGATTAGACCGTTAGCGTCTCAAAAATGACCAAAGAGTTTCGATAGTGTTTTTATGTTAAAGCTTGAATCTGTAGCTACATTGTGTACTAAGTCCAACAGAAAATGAAAAGTTTCTATTTTCTAGGCTGACACTCTCATTATGACGTAATATCCAAGAAACTGAGCAATTATAGACCATTTTGAAAATCTAATTTTGAGGGATGTAAACAAAAACAATGGTCCTAACGTATTTCCTGTTTCACATTTTTAATTTCCATAGTTTCTATGAATCCCAACGTCCACATATTGATACATAATGTTATGATAGCTGTTATAATGTTATGTTATGTTATGATTGAATCACCTCTTGTTACAGTTATGAAACAGTTTGATAACAGGCAGGAAATGTAACATCACCTCATTGAAATGTCTATATTTTGCAGTGCCTGCAAATGGGCTAATTTCTACCTTAGAAACATGGAGAGATTTGAGACGATTCAGAACATATTAACTTTGATGCACACCTTAAACCATATCTATTAAACCCAGCATACACTAGAGAGATCATTGCACTGCTGTAGTAATGCAGTAACGTTTCTTAATTATTAGAGAATTAAGCCAGAATGAAAACTATAGTTATTGTTATACTATATTTACTATGAAAGTTATAGTTACAGCCACATCAGGTCTTCTGTTGGTCTTAATACATGATGTAACTACAGAAGAGTCAAGCTTTAAATAGCAAGAGTATCTAAACTCTTCGGTCATTTTGAGTAAGATAAGGGTCTAATCAGATTCAATGATCTATGCTAAGCTAAGCTAAAAGTGCTGCACCAGACCCATAGATCAGCAAAAATGGTAAAAAAATTCTACTGTTTAACTCCAGGAGAGCTGTAAAATGAGCCTATTTTTATCTATTTTAAATACAGCACAATGGTTATGTGTGATGTGTATTTAGTACAGTGGTTATGTGCAGTGTGTGTTTAGTGCAGTGGTCATGTTCAGTGTGTGTTCAGTGCAGTGGTTATGTGTTTAGTACAGGTGTTGGTGGTCCAGCAGTTTCTCCTCACCTGTGGTCTTGATCAGGCTGCTGAACTGGTGTGTCGTCACACTGACGCTGCTCTTCTTCTTCCTCTCTCTTCATCTGTGTGTCTCTGTGATATTGGACAGTGGCGTACTGGATCTCCTCAGCATCTCTGCATTCAGCAGCTCTTCCTTTTTTGGGATTTACACTGGCATACAGAGCATCACCCGCTGATCCAGGAGCAGAATGCAGATCATTCTGAAACACAACAAAATCAGACTTTCATACAAAGCATTTGGTTTTCATCCACAGAAGAGTGCAGTTTTCAATCAAGAAAGTTATAAGAATGTAAAAAGTAGCTTGTTGTTGTAAATGTGCTGATGATTATGCAGAGATTAAACCTAAGAAGCAAAATAGATCTGATATAATCATGGATCAATAATATTTTGTGTTCCTGCATCACACCACCTGGCGGCGCTGGAGAAACACTGCAGAGAGGAACTGATCAGGTGCTGGATTATATATATATATTTTAAAGATTCTGTATTGTTTTGATAAAATATTTCATTAATTCACACTGAATATCATGATGACTTTCACATTTGAGTTAAGTCCTAAAAATATAAACTATTTTAATCACACAAAGGAAAACATGAGTTTGTCTGATTTCCTGCTGTAAGGTTGTATCTGCATGATTTACTGTACCTGCGTCAATGTGAGACCTTCACATTTAACACTCCTTTGTTTCTTTCTGTTGTAATAACACACATGAACAGAGGATTAATCACTCTAATAAATAAATACATACAATAAAATAAAATATGCATTTTTTAAAAATAAATTGTTACTATGAATGTTACTAAAATATTTATAAACTCTAAAAAAAATAGCATTTTTATTGAACTCACATTAAACACAGGATTATGATGATGATGATGATGAATAATCCTCCAGATGTCGCTGTGATGATGATGATGATGTTTCTCTCAGCATGCTGATGAACTGAAAGATGAAGCAGATCATGATTAACTCTCCAGACTGATGAAGTTACAGGAGTGTGATGATAAAAGCTTCACCAGTGACAGTGACGGCGTCTGATCTCTGAGCTCCATGTGGATTGTGAGCCTCACAGTAGAAGCGTCCACTCTGTACTGCACTGAAACTCTGTCCAGATCCAACAGCTGAGCTTTGATTCTCCTTAAACCAGCTGAAGCTCAGAGCAGGAGGATTTGAGTCACTGATGCACATCAGACCCACTGAATCTCCATACTCTATTACAGCAGATCCACTGATGGTCACTGAGAGGTTCCTGGGTGGGTCTGAAACAGAAAAACACTCATATCATGTCACTGGTAAAACTTTTAGAGGATTTAATATATCAGTTACTGAACCATCATAAACTCACACTGAACATTTAAAGTCACAGCAGCAGAGTATTTCACTCCATGATCATTTTTGGCCTTGCACTTGTATTTTTTACTGTCATCAGAGCTGATCTTGGAGATGTTTAAGATTCTTCCAGATCCTACAAATGTTTCTCCTTTAAACCAGTGTATTTCTGCAGGAGGGTTTGAGTCGCTGCTGCAGCTCAGAGTCACTGAATCTCCAGACATTATTACAGCAGATCCACTGATGGTCACTGAGACGCTCTTTGGAGGATCTAAAACACATAAAAAAATTAAATGTGTTTTTTGCCCCAAAAATAAATACGGTTATTTAAAAAAAAAAAACAATAAATTAATTTATACTCACAGGTGACATTGAGATAGACCTCAGGTGATGTGAGTGTGTGTCCATCTACAGCACATCTATATCTGCCTGCATATTCTTCTCTGAATGAAATTAATATGAGTTTGTCTCCAGTAGTTCCTTCAGTCAATGTGTGTGAGTTTCTGTACCAGATGAATGTTGGTGTGTCAGTCAGTTTACAGCTGCTGTTACATGTCAGACGGACTGAATCTCCCTCTGTCACTCTCTCAGGAGACTCCAGCTGAAGATCTGAACACAACACACACATTATATCTAGTGCTGCTCTCATACACTGATTATTATTCTACATAATGACCACAAGAAGAGAGAAACCTCAGGAGAGTCACCTGTGACAGAGAGATGCACTCCTGGTTTACCAGTCCATTTTTCATTTGGTACATTAGTAATGAATCTGAAATAATACTGGTGTTCATCTTTCTTTGTCACATGACTCAGTCTGACGGTGCAGTTCTGCTGTTTATCTCCCAGATACTGAAGCCTCTGACTGTATTCAGGGTCCTTAGACAGATCTGTTGGCTCAATATCTTTTACATTGTCTTTGGTCCAGAACACTTTCTTGATCTGATGTCTAGTCGGGTATGTAAAAGTGCAGCTCATTATCACTGATGAGTTCTTTAGTGCACAGATGCGTGAATGAATATAATTCACAGCCCAATCAGCACTAGAAACCCCTGAAACAGAATTATGCAGAAAATGCTGTATTAAATATATTTGTACAAAATTCCCCCTATCGCGCATGAGCGAGAGAGACTTCTCTAGACAGGCTTGGCGCATGCGCGTTTATTCAGTTCAGCTGTACCCTGTAGAGTATGACAGCACGGAGACTCCGCTTCTCTGTTTATACTGCTAAAAAGAATCTATCCTTGTTGTGTGGTATCACTGTGCGCATATAAAAATGTAAGTAATTATCGTTCTTATCATTTTAGAAGTATTTATAATGTGTCTTGTATAATCTGGTCTAATTTACCTCAGAAAATCTAAACCCAGTGTACAATCGCGGCAGTGCCCGATAGTTTAATTATTTATTTAATTGTTTATCATACGTCCGTTTACTTTCACTACTTTTAACAGTTTCAGTTTCAATGACGATATTAAGTTTGTTTCATATTGTCATATGAATAGTTATCATGCGGAGCGCACGTGATAGTCTCACAGGCGCATGCACAAAGTGTAATCTGATACCCCTAATTAGTGCCTATAGCAGCTGCGCTACTCTTTCGAGTTATATTGCATGTACTCCATATATGTATCAGTAAAGATTGTTTGAGTGATTGAATATTGTTTATAACTTTGTATATTTGTCACTTCATACCTTTTATGTATATTTACAATTTATTCCTGTTCTTTGACAGAAACCGCACCATATAATCACACAAAAGTGAATGTCCTAATAAAGAAATAAAGGAAATTGAACATGTTCATTCTGGAGTAGCTGCAGTTCTTTCTAACAGAAGAATTAGGCCAGTTGGGTTCCAACCACACAATAGCGTACAGAATATCCCACAATATAAATTTTTGCCCATTGTTTACACTGAGATCATTATTTACACTCAAACGATTAAGAAGATCACCATTTAAAGTTATTGTGTGAATGCATACCTGCATCTCAGGTGAACACGCAGGGCTCTATTTTGACGGTCCATGCGCAGAGCGCAAAACGCAGGGCGCAAACGCTTTCAGGGCGTGTCAGGATGCGTTTTTGCTAATTTAAGGACGGGAAATCTGCCTTGCGCCGCGGCGCATGGTCTAAAAGGGTTGAGTTTATTTTCTTAATGAGTTATAGGTGTGTTTTGAGAATAAACCAAAAAGAGTCTCATCTCCCATTCCCTTTAAGAGTCAGCTGCGTCGAGCCAAGAGCGCATTCACTATTTACAGGACGCAAAGTAAGGATAAGTGGAAAAACTGAGCATTTCACAAGCAGACAGTTGACAGTTTTTTAACAGAAAACAGTTAAACAGAGCATCTACTGCGTGAGAATGAGAGATAATGGATCTACTTTCACTTTCGCTCTTGGATAGGGAAACCTTTACGCACAGACATCAATTAGCCTATAAATAAATACTTTTGTTTGCTAAGCGCAAATATTCGTTTCAAAACTATTTCTAAATTCAGTTATAATTTCCAGCAAACGAATAAATGAATAATAATAACAAAATGTGCTCAAAAACCTGAGTTATACCCTAAAACACATGCTGTGCCCCATATGGTCTAAAACCTGACAGGTGGACAAATCTAAGCTTGTTTTTAATAAAACAAATATAAATATGGATATAATAAATAATATTGCTAATAATAATAACATTATACAAAAGCAAATTGTTATGAATGAACTGAAAAAGCCTCCCGAGATGAAGAAGACATAAAAGCAGTGATTTTTCATATTTATGTAGGCTAGAAAATAATATGTTTTGTAATATTTTAATCCTTTATATTTATATTCTATATCTATTCTTATTATATCCTATATATATCCTTAATATTTAAATTTTTTCATATGTAAAGATATTTGCCTATTGCTCTCTTGTGTGTATTAAGCAGTGTGTAAGCGAGGCGCAACTTTGCGCCGGAGTTTAGACCGGGTTTGTTTTGGTCTAATGAAAAATTTATTATAGTTTCTCTAAATAGCAACGCGCCAGCGGTCCGCCTCAGAACGCCTTCCTTTTTAGACCAGAACGCCTATGGGCGCACATATGAGCGCTAATGCATTTGCTATTTAAACAGCGTAGCGCAACGCCTCAAAACCACTCTTGCGTTAAGCTGAAACTACCAAAAGACTATTGCGCCACGCCTTGCGCCACACTGCACCGGGTGTATGATAGGGCCCTTAAAGTTACTTCATCCTGTTCATGTGTTTTGCAATGTAGAGTTAGCCAAGCTGTATTTAAAATATCACGCGTGTCTTTTTGCTTGTAATGTATGTCCTCGTTTTATACCCTTCCTCTTTCAACACTGCCTAATCTGACCACAGCAGAAAAACGTCAGAGGTGTGAAAATACACTGCATGACGTTAGAACTAAAGATAAACATGAATAGTTATGATCTGCCTGCTTATGCCAACTTCCCATATAAGAGAAAACATGATCAGAGCAAAGAAACCTGCTGAATAATGTCTGATTGTGGTGTGTGTAAATGCAGAGAAATAAAGCAGTGATGTGAATGTAAGATTGACTCACTGTGAATGATGAGCAGAAAGATCAGATGAAGAGCAGGAGCCATTCTGAGCCACATCAGCATCAAATCTATCTAGAATCCAGCATTAATCATCACTTCTACACTCATCAACAGTAAATGTACATCACCCTAAACAGCTCTTAGTGTTAGGAAGATCTTTACACATCTGCAGATTATTAATGCACAACATCAGTGTGTGTAAATCAACTGATGACTGAGATCAACACAAGATATTTCTCATGTCACAAATCATGTGTTATATGAGCTTCATCTACACTAATCATCAGTCAAATACCAGTTTGTTTGTCTTACCGTGTTGAAGAGCAGCAGATCAACAGTGACTGATGGACGGACTATTTTAGCTCATGCACTTCTCCTTTACGGTGAAGGAGTTTCTGTGGTTAACATCTGTCCCTCCTTTTAACTGAGCATCACTGAGATGAAACTCTCTAAAGTTAATGATGTTTTAAGACAGTCATCGTCCACCAAAGTCTATATTTTGTCCTTTCAGTTTTTGAAAGTAAAAGCAGGGGCAGGTTATGATGGGCTCCTATTAGTATCTCTTGGGGCCCAAAACAGTGTGGGCTCTTAGAATGTGGGCATTGCAGTGGCACAGTGGGTTTCCCCTACAGTCCAAACACATGCGCTATTGACCTTTTTCTAAAATGCGGAAGTGCGCCTGTTTTCGCGATTGTCTTAGAACTTCCGTTTCATTCGCCTATGGGAGAAATGACAAGGAATAATAAACGGCAAAAAACGGTCAAACTACTTGCTCTACAAACAAATGTTTGCATGACTATACAGACCAAGTAGAATAATATAACAAGGAAATATCAGTTTGCAACATCAAACAGCGAAACGAACAGTTTTTAATGTCTAAAAATGAAGGGAAGTGAATGAGACCGGAAGTCTCGTGCCAAAAAGATTCAAATGGCAGCGCCCGCTCATCTGCGGAAAATAAGGTCAATAGGGGAATTGGGTATGTGTGTAAATGAGTGTGCCTCCCAGTGATGCGTTGTAGCTGGAAGAGCATCCGCTGCATCAAACATATGCTGGATTAGTTGGCGGTTCATTCTGCTGTGGCGACCCCAGAATAATAAAGGTACCAAGCCGAAAATAAATTCAATTTATACACTGCAAAAAATGCTTTTCTTGCTTAGATTTTTTGTTTTGTTTCTAGTCTAAATATCTAAAAATTCCTAAATCAAGAAGAATTTTCTAGACAAACAAAACACATTGTCTCGTTTTGAGAAATATAAAATTATTAAGTGAGTTTTTCCTTAAAACTCACAATATTAAGTGAGTTTTTCCTTAAAACGAGCAAAATAATCTGCCAATGGGGTAAGCAAAATAATCTTACATCAAAAGAAAAAACAAGATTATTTTGCTTACCCCATTGGCAGATTACTTTGCTTGTTTTAAGGAAAAACTCACTTAATATTGGCATATTATTTCTTAAAACAAGACACTATGTTTTGCTTATCTAGAAAATGCTTCTTGATATAAGAAATTTTAGATATTTAAACTACAAACAAGACAAAAAACCTAAGCAAGAAAAGCATTTTTTGCAGTGTAGTAAATAGCTTTTGGACCATACTAAAGTGCATACTCTATATTGTAACAGCAACAATAAAGACCAACTCACACACAGTGATAACTTTCCTGAGGGCAGAGTAAATGACGGGCAAGGGTCGAGGATGACAGCAAACCATCTCAATGGGGTATATGCCGAGCTAGTGCTGTTCCCATGCTGATAAACTTCTGGTGACCTGTTATTGTGAACTTTTTTTCCATTTTATACGGTTCCTTTTACAGCATCGATGCTGTAATGTTATTGAAATACATTCAGTTAAATAAACTTTGACATTTATTTAGTTGCTCAAGCGTAAAACGAGACAAAAAGCTGTTTACTCGCACGCGCCCGTCAGAACCGGCAGGCTAGCACAGAAGCTCCATTGAATATACTGGGGTAAAATAAATGCTCATATTATAAAGACATGGAGGTGGAAAATGTAATGTAATGCCGTGCTTCTTGTAATCTGAGGCCTACTTTAAATCGGACATCACTCAGCTAGTGGAGATCGCTGATTTTTAAAGAAAACAGACCTTAAATGCACCAGTTTTTGCATTGGCATTCAGTTCGCCGGAAGCGCTTAAGCCAGGTTACTGTCAAATTAAAAGTCCTATAAGCATGCTTCGGCATGTACCCTATGGTGATGCAGGCAGTGGTCAGGGCAGGCGATGAGTAGCCTGGAACTATAAAGCAGCCAGATAAACTTCAGATACTACAGTCAGTCCAAGGTCAATAAACAAGCCTGTAACAAACAACAAGGAAACTGCTTTGGAATGACAGCCGGGGCAAACCAAAACTTCACACTGAGCTGTGTGAATGAGGTTAAATGGAGAGTTCCAATGAGGATCAGCTGCGCTAAATCAGTCCCAGGAATGTAGCATGATGGGATATTGAGGTTGTATCAGAACTCCCTCTGGCTCCCTCTGGTGGTGCAGAGAGGAAAGCACATGGAAAGTATTCATTACACACTGTGTGTGTTTTAATACGTGTGTTTAGACTTTATTAAACAAGTATTGAACTTTATTTCTCTGTCATTAGCATATCTGTGGCAGAAGACTATTATAATATACAGTTTACAATGTTTTATTTTTCTTTTGAAATTTTTTTCTCCTTTTGTTTTTGTGTTTCCTACAGCAGATATGTTGCTAATTAACAAATTTTGGGCTTATTTTTACACTTTTTGTGAAATATTAACAATGCTTTATTATCATTATTATTTTTAAAATCCTTACCTGTATTATTTAAATTTTTAATTGAATTTATTTGACCAGATCTTCCTGTTTTTGGGCACAGTCCTTATTTTATTAATTTTATTTTGAAGACTTGTATCTGCCTGGAGCAATTTTAATTAAAAACTCACATTTTTTAACTCATTTAGACAATAGAATACACAAGACGTGTCACTTGGATAGTTTTGAATGGGGAAAAGTGTAATGGTCAAAATGGCGAATAAAGCCACACCTTCTAGTGGAAAAGCCAATCAGCTATTGCAAAAGACTGACAATCTCAGAGGGGAGGGGCTTGGTTCAGACGTAAGTTTCTGCAGATTTTGTGTGATTTAAATATTTAGAAACTAAACTAAAGAGACAGCTGTTGTTTAATCTTATTAGTGATTTCTAATGTGGAGATATTCTTAAGTTAGATCTCAATACTATTTTAAGCACTAAACTAAAATGTTCCCGGTTTGCATCTCAGAAATCTGCTCATCAGAAATGAAATAAAGTGATTACCTCAAGGAAATGATAAACTGTTGATCTATAAAAACAGTGTTGGGGAAAATAACTGTATATTCCAATCTAAAATCACTCAAAACTAGACACTTAACTAGATGTGTACTTAATTACCTTTAAATTGAAATAACATTGAATAATTTGTCATTATAATTATTCACCTTTCTGTGAAATTCTTTGTCAAATATTTCCCAAATGATGTTTAACAGAGCAGGGAATTTTTCACAGTATTTCCTATAATATTATTTATTCTGGAGAAAGCCTTATTTGTTTTATGTTGGCTAGAATAAAAGCAGTTTTAATTGTTTTAAATTCATTTTGAGGTCAATATTATTAGCCCCTTTAAGCAATATTTGCTTTAGACTAAACAAACCAATATTGCACAATGACTTGCCTAATTACCATAACTTTACCCTAATTATCAAAATTAAGCCTTTAAATGTCACTTTAAGCTAAATACTAGTGTCTTGAAAAAAATTTAGTCAAATGTGATGTGCTGTCATCATGGCAAAAATAAAATAAATCAGTTATTAAGAGTAATTTCCTTTCTCCCACATTCAGAAAGTCCCATACAAAAGCATCATTGATGGTGGATTATAGCCTGGAAAAGTCATCCTCATCCAGGGTGTCCTCAATCCTGAAGGGTTTGATAAAAATCATTGAAAATTACTCTCTGGTTTCATCTGATATGCTTTTTTAATGATCCAATCTCCTCTTCTTTTCCAAACAGAATGGAGATTTGCACATAACAGGAATTGCGTTCTACTATGGCATTCATGTGAATGAGAGTGTGATTGTGTGCAACAGCTATGAGGATGGAAAATGGGGCGATGAGGAGCGTTATCAAATCACACCGTTCGATAAAGTGGAAATACTGCAAGTACGCCCACATCTGACTTTCTTTATCCCTGAATGTACCATTAAAGAGGACATACAATGCAAAAATCATTTTTATAAGGGGTTTAAACCCAATTGCGTGTCAGCAGTGTGTGAATATATCCAGCCTCTAATAGTAAACATTAATTATTTGTGTTTGTTCTAATCACTATTGATGAAAACACTTCGCAGAAACACTTTGATTGACATTCTCCCTTTGTTCATGTCGTCAGAGGGGGAAAGCCCCACCCACTAGTGCCCATCTCTCCCTCATTAGCATAAACAGCAGCCCTGAGTGAGAAGCAGCCGTCTGTCCATTAGCCATTAGAGCGTTTGAGCTGTTGAAGATAATGTCAACAGACTAAGAGGATTATAGATGTGGAGTTTTAGATGAAGCACAAATAAACAGCAGCAGGAGTCTCCATAGACTGACAAAAGATTTCTGACACACTGACAACATGCAGACCTGACTCACAGAGATAACATTACAGAGATTATCTTCTCTACCTTGTAATAAAAATGTGTAAGCATATTACAAGCCAGTTGTGTTTACATTAGCCCTGTAAAATAAAAGCCATGATGCACTAAAAAGAGTAAACCATCACTCAGCCTTTTGAATCTGTCTTTTGCATTGAAGTAAAGAGCTAAAAATATCTTTGTTTAAAGTATATCAAGGCTTTTCCTGTTGAAATCCAGTGGACAGTGGCTGGGAGAAATCTTTATTTGTAGTTTGCAGTATTGGACGATTGCTCATGTTTGTCTCTTCTGTGTGTTGCAGCTCAGCATTATCTGCCGTCGTGAACACTATGAGGTGTTTGTCAATGGTGAACACACTCAGACTTTCAGTCATCGCTTCACTAAACTGGAGGAGCTGGATGTTGTGGAAATCAGTGGAAATGTGGAGCTGAGCCTTGTGCAGCAATGAAGAGTTCATTCATATAAGACAAACTGAAGCTGCATACGCCTGTATAAACAAAAAGTCAGAAAGATGCAAAAGAAAATAATTGTGTTTATATAGCAATCAGCTTATTCACATTCAGAATATATTCATATACATATTATGATTTTCTTGTCTTCACATTAATATTAATATAATATTATCGCCTCACAGCAAGAAGGTCGCTGGTTTGAACCTCGGCTCAGTTGACGTTTCTGTGTGGAGTTTGCATGTTCTTCCTGCCTTCGCGTGGGTTTCCTCCGGGTGCTCCGGTTTCCCCCACAGTCCAAAGACATGCTACAGGTGAATTGGGTAGGCTAAATTGTCTGCAGAGTTTAACTGGTTGTTTGTTCATGTTACCTTACATTGCATCAACTAATGTTAACAAGCATGAATTTTGATTTTAAAAAGGTACTAGTCAATTTTGAGCTATGATTAATAAATAATGTACAAGTATTGAAACTTAGTTCATGTTAGTGAATTATCTAATTAAACCATATTGTATAGTGTGACTACTTTTGCTAAATTCTATAAAAAACTTATCAGAGGCTAAATAAGCACTTTAAATGTATCTGCAACAAAACTGCAGTTCGTTAGGGGATATATTTCCAACTATCTCAGCAGTATGAAGCAAATCAACAATGTTTATGTTAGATTATATACCAACTAAACTATTAAAACCATTGTTCTCCGAAGTTGCATTGTAAATTCATTTTTACTTATAGGTCATGTTCCTACAACCTTATTAGATAGATATCCGTGATGGTATTTAAAAATAATACAGCTCAATCTCAAAGAAGTAGAAAATTATAGATCCATTACAAATCCTCTCCCTTCAAATCTACTCAGTTATGTTCATTCTTAGAGAAAAGCAATCTTATTCCAATCCAATGAGGAAACTCCAGTATGAATTAAATAGTTTTCCAGAGATGAGTTGCGGCTGGAAGGGCATCCGCTGCGTAAAAAAAAAAAAAAAAAAAGTTGCTGGATAAGTTGGTGGTTCATTCCGCTGTGACGACCCCGGATTAATATAATATATAATATATTATATATATATAATATATAAAGGGAATAATGCGTCAAAAAAAAAAATGAATGAATAAATAAATGAATGACTGAATTAAATGGCATCTTATAGCACTGAAACAGCAGTCCTAAGAGTTACGGATGACCTGCTTGTATCATTCAACCATGGTTGCATTTCTATGTAGTGTTATTGGACCTCAAATTTATGTTACTTACTGTATGTTATTTGATACTATTGATCATAACATTCTCCTTGACAGGCTTGAAAATGAAATTGGTATTATTGGAAGTATTGACTTGGTTCAGGTCTTACCTAGTGTGATGGTGTAGTGCAGCTGATTGAAATGAGTAACCAAAATGTGATGGTGCTGTGCAGCTGATTGGCATTGACATCGGCCAATTGGCACGTAGCACCGCCTTTTTAAACCTGATTGGTCGGTGCTTGGGATACGTCACGTCCGACTCCGATGCACTGGTTTGGGTGTCTGTAGCCGCGGCTACAGGTAGAGGCTCTGCGCTCGTTCTGAATTTTGTAAGTTGTTTGAATCGACCCACGTTAAGCTCTCTTTTGGCATTGTTCTAGTGCATCGTGTGGCGGTGGCTTTTCCCTTGGCTGTGGTGGCTGGATGACTGTTCAGTTGCAGGTATGTGATAGCTTTGAACTGGCTGAGTAATGGGGTTTAGCCGCATTTTAACCTGCGTGTTTCATGCTGTACAGCTATTAATTCCGGCACCTCGCTGTATTGTATCGACCAACGAGTGATTTAGAACGTGTCTGAGTGTGCGCCCATTGGTAAGTGAAGCACGTATGATGTGGTGTGATCATTTAAAGGACCATGTTAATGGGCTTGTTTGCGCTTTTCCTCCTTAGGATCCTCCCTTTTCCCCTTTCTTTCTCTCTTACGTCGGATCTTCCTCTGGTATCATTTGCGTACTAGCTCCCGTGTTCATCGCTATTGCCGTGGTTACCGGAGACCGTCTGCAACTGCTGCTAATGCTAACGGCGGCGTATTGGCTGCTGCTTGGACACCACCAATGCAGCTGCTAGCGGGGACTGCCTGCAATAACTCTTAGCGTGCTGCTTTGTGCTCCCCTTCATTCTTTTATTTGTGTTGGATAATTGATTTGTCAACATAAGCATCCTTCTGTTTTTTGTTGTGTCTTTATTTATGCAAAGTATTGACTTTTTTGTTTTTCGTTATTAAGAGTATTCTTTTGTGAGTTTAGTCTTAGTTCTAGTAACAGTTAATGTTGGGTCTAGTGTAGGTCAGATGGTGTAAATACAGCTGTAGCTATCTTTCAATTAGATCATGTAAAGTAGGTGTTAACCTGATTGACCCACTTATTTGTGTTTTGTTGGTTATTGATTTTTATTTTTATTTATTTCAGGAATTGAGGTTTCCCCCGGTGGATGACGGGGCACTTTCCACTGGTGGTGGTGTTTCTCTATCGTGTGCTGTGGACACTGAGTGCGTGATAGCGTGATTTTTGAAGTGCACTGTGGTGTGTGCGTGTGCTGGGGTAAAGTCTGTCCACTCGTACCCAGTCAGTGGGAACCTCCAATCCTGGTTTGGTTTTGTTTATTTATTGTTTCTTGTGTTTAATAATGAAGTGGGAGTTTTTGATGTATTTTTAAGAACCGTACCATTTGGTAGTTTTATTCCAAATAAATATTTTTGTACCTTTTCATTAACTCACGTCTCTGTGCCTTTCTGGGAGAAACGAACCTGTGTCCTTTTCTAATAGTTGTTTCCCTGGGTAACTCCTGGGGTGGCGTAGTCGGTTATTTTTATTTACAGAGATTTAAACCCTACTCTATACCCTCGTCACACTAGGTTATCAGTGACTACATTTATATGGACATCAGTAATCAAATTATTGTATTTAATCTAATTAAGAGAATAATAAGACTAAGGTGTTTACCCTAGTTGCTTTTTCAATGTTTCTTTCATGATCCCGTTTTACATTTTATATCGCTTGCTATCCACATTTTCTCAGGAGTTTCAAGCAATTCCGGGTGTTTCGTTTTTAGTTTGTTGACTTTTATCTGCAGTTTGGCACTTTTACTTTCATTCATGAGCATTTTCATGCACCCTCTCTCTGTGACAAACAAGATATTGGACGCAACTATGCACCGCTGGAAGAGTGTTGTTTCAATGGAAGTTCATACCGCATGCTGAATGGAAGAAAAAAACCTCCGCATTTCACGATGCAGGTATCTGTGGTCTGCACTGACTCGGTAGATGCAACGAGTGTCAAACAGCTGTGCACGCTATCCTGTAGCAAAACGCGGCGAAAAGTCCTCCATGACGGTAATAGTTCCATTAGGGTGTTTACATGTCTGCACTGCACTTCAATAATGACTAAAATCGGCAATATCCACATGTCTTAATTCAATATCTCTTTTGTTTGATTATGATTTGAAAATAGCTTTTTACATGGTGAACTCTTAATCAGAGTATTGTCGTAATCACATTAAAATCGAATTATTGGTGTCCATGTAAATGCAGTCATTTTGTAAAAGTAAATGAAGAGGCTTCTTATTCATCAAAGGTGCACAGTGGGCTACCGCAAGTATCCGTATTTGGTCCCTAGCTATCTTGGTGCAAACTTTTAATGGTAGTCTATAGGGGGAAAGAGCTAACATTTAGTGTGTAGCAAATTCACAAGGTGGTGATGGAGGCAAAATACAACATGCACAACAAACTGCCAACAAAACTGATTTAATGTACAAAAAGCAAAATTAAGCCATACAAATACTCAAAATATAGGATGCAATAAGGAAGATGTAATTAAGTAAGTTCAAAATAAAGTGTCAAACAAAATAATTTAACTTACTGGTAAGGGAATGTTATTTATGCCAAAGGAAAGAACATATCAAAACAGTTTTAACTCAAGTTCAGTCTCTGACCCAACTAAATATGAACAGAAAATCAAGTCCCAGAGCCAGAATGAGATGGCGTTAACTTCTTAATTGGGGAGTCTAAATCGTTCACTAATAGTAAACAAAGATTTTTATTTTTTTACAGAAATTTATGTTGGAAAGATAGTTGTTTTAAGACATCTTCCCTATCCACTTTACCCCTTATTTGCACAAATTAATATCAAACAAAGGCGTACAGGTAAAATGAGTATCATTGTATCAAAAATTAGCTATAACAAGATCAAAGAAGAACACATTCTTACATTCTTTCAGCGCCCTTTAATCAGCCACAGGAAATTTTAATGGCAGAGGATAGGCCAGCATCAAGATGCCTAATTGATGGATTGCTTCAATATGAAATGTGGAATCAGGGAAAGAAGATTTTATGGATCGGCAGGTAAAGAAGAGAGCAAGCAAATTAAGAGAAATAAAAAAAAAACACCAGAAGGAACATAGGATACACCCACAACAACTTCTGATTAATTTGCAAACAAACTTTATACTAAGTTTTAAGCACATTTTTTAAATCTACCATTTATTTCTAAAATCCTTGAAAAAATAGTAGCAATACAACTTCAATCCCACTTATCTCAGAACAACCTGTATGAACAGTTCCAGTCTGGCTTCCGCCCACTCAACAGCACAGAAACTGCCCTGATTAAATTCACCAATGACCTTCTCATGGCAGCTGATTCTGGACTAATATCTATTCTCATTCTCTTAGACCTGAGTGCGGCCTTTGACACTATTTCTCACAGCACCCTCGTCAATAGACTATCCACTCTTGTCATCACCAATACCCCACTTGACTGGTTTAAATCTTATCTCTCTGGCCGCACTCAGTTCATTCAACTCAAATCATTCACTTCTCAGCACTTTACAGTTTCTTCGGGTGTTCCCCAGGGCTCAGTCCTGGGGCCCCTACTTTTTATCATCTATCTCCTTCCACTCGGTAATATTCTCCGTAAATATAGCATACAGTTTCACTGCTATGCGGATGACACCCAGCTCTATCTCTCTGGCAAACCCTCTTCTTGTTTTCCATTTACATCCCTTACAGTCTGCTTAGCAGAAATCAAGTCCTGGCTCTCTCTTAACTTCCTCAAGTTAAATAGTTCAAAAACTGAGGTTTTGCGTGTTGGTACCAAATCAACACTCTCCAAAACTGACAGCTTTTCTCTCTCAATTGACGACTGTTCCATTTATCCCTCTAAAAAGGTTAAGAGTCTGGGTGTCATCCTTGATAGCACCCTATCCTTTAATTCTCACATTAATACCATCACCCGTTCTGCTTACTTCCACCTACGCAACATTAACCGTCTCCGCACTTCTCTTACCCCTCATGCCACTGCTGTTCTCGTTCATAGCCTTGTCACATCTCGTTTAGATAACTGCAACTCTCTTCTCTTTGGTCTTACTCATAAATCTCTCCGTAAGCTTCAGTTGGTCCAGAACTCAGCTGCCCGTATCATCACCAGACCCCTGTCCTGCAGCAGCTTCATTGGTTACCTGTTCATTTTCCAATTGACTTTAAAATCTTGATGTTAACATTCAAAGCCATCCACAGTCTCACCCCTCCATATTTGTCTGCCCTCATCCACATTTCTGTTCCTTCTCGCACCCTGCGATCTTCTTCCTCTCTTCACTTGTCTGTTCCCTCTTCTCGCCTTTCAACTTTGGGCAACAGAGCATTTAGCCGCTCTGCTCCGCGGCTTTGGAACTCACTACCACCTGCCATCAGAAACATCGACTCCCTTACACTGTTCAAATCAAGACTCAAAACCCCCTTATTTAAGATGGCTTTTAATACTTAATTTTATCTGCACTATTTCTGTGTATATTTTATTATTTCTCTTGTTGTTTTATTGCTCTTGTTGATTGTACGGTGTCCTTGAGTTACTAGAAAGGCACCTTTAAATAAAATGTATTATTATTATAATTATTATTTTATAAAATATTCATAAATATTCAAATTATTATAGTCTTGTTATATATGTTATGGTGTGATCTTCACAACCAGTATAAAGGTTACAACAGTTATAAACGAAACCAATGAACAACAGTGTGCTAATTTCTTTTTAGTTGTTTGACCGCCTGAGAAACTGCTGCTCCGAATAAAGCTGCGCCTCCTACTGCAACTAGCACTGCTGGTGCCACGATAATCTCTGTGACTCCCAGAACGATGCCTCCTGTTATTATGGCAGCTGCTCCTAATGGTCCAATATTTTCTGCCATATCACGTAGTTTATGTCTATAACTTTTGAAATTCTGAAACCTGTCATTTGTGTAGTACCTCCATGTGTTTTCCTCTGCCATTATTTCAATCTTTTTCAGCAGTTCCTTTACCTGACTTTGATCATTTTTGTCCTCATTGTTGAATGAGTGATATCTACCGTTACTGATAACCGGTAATTTAAGACGCATCCTCGCACTGATATAATCATCTAAAGATTTACCCCTCAGATCAGTGTGTGTGAACAGAATGATGGTGTGATTTACAGCTTCTTTGCCAAAGTTCTGCTGAAGCCATTTGACTGCGTTTTTAACCTCATCTACAAATCTCTCATCCAGTCTGATGACCAGCAGAAACGCATGAGGACCAGGAGCAGACATGTAGACAAGGTTCTCCATTTCATTCTTTATTTTCTTTTCTGATGCATCAGTCAGTCCTGGAGTGTAGATTATTTTAATGTTCTTTCCATCAACATGTGCATCTTCTTCTTGACAAGTTTTAGTAAAACTCTTTTCACCCATGATATTTTCTAATGTGCTGGTCTTTCCAGATCCAGATTTACCCAGGAGCACAATCTTTGATTTCCCAGACCCTGCCAATCGAAAGGTAACAAGGTATGTTAAGACAAATCAATAAAAATCAACACAATCAATGTTGTAGTCTAAAATGTTGTATTAAATAAAGGTGTATTAATTATCTCTCTCTCTCTCTCTCTCACACACACACACACACAAACACACATACACACACTGTACTCTAAAATAAATGTGTGCAAAATAATCATACTTAACTTGGCAAAAAAAATTAACAAATTGATAGTTAAAACCAATTAACTTAAGTGGCGAAGATTTTTTTTTTTTTTACGTTCATGGACTGAGTTCTCTAACATAAACCACCAGGGTAACCTATTTTGCTCAGGAGTCTTGTGGATATTATATAGACAAAATTCTAGATCAAAAAAGGTTCTGATCAGCGGTGTTGTCGCGCATCTACCAAAGGGCGGTAGGGGTAGATCGCGGGGGCACTTTTGATCGTTTTGGAAGGGCACTTTCTATCCAAGCCTAAAAAGGGTATGTGCACTGCACAGGTTGAGCCCTATGTGTGCACGTGCCTGATTCTTTCACTTCAGAAAACAGCCTCTTTGAGGTGGTGCTGAAAATTTTTATAATCTGTATATCCCACATATTGCATTCTAAAGAGCTGTGAGCAGATGGCTGGTGGACTTGTTGCTTAGCAATAGAAAACGATCTGGGGGGCTTGCTGTGACTCCTGAGGCCTGCATACATACAGTAGTAAATGTAATATAAACTTAAAAAAAAGGGAGGCAAATTCATGTAACTTACATGAGATCAAGTTAACAATGGTCTTTAAGGCTCACAGAATTCTCATTTCCATATACTGTACTCATATTATTTGACTATGAATTGTTATACCAGAATATTCTTCATAGGGGACCTTTAAACATTTAATCAAATTAGTATAAAATACACAATTACACACACACACACACACACACACACACACATACACACTTACAAAATTGATTTCTTGACTGAGCATTTTGACAGATCTCATTAGTGTAGTGCAGTCCTTCATTCTCCTCCACCATCTTCTCAATCTTCTCCATCAGTTCAGCGACCTGTGTTCGATTGCTTGTGTCTTCATTGTTGAATAAGTGATATCTGCCTCCACACTGACTAACTAGACCATGGAGATCATCACTTTCACTGATATAGTCTTTCAGTAGTTTTCCCTTTAGTAGATCAGCGTGAGTGAACAGGACGATGGTGCATTGAACAGCTTCTTCTCCAAAAGTCTCCTGAATCCATTTCAAAGTGTTATTCTCTTCTTCTGTGAGTGTCTCGTCTAGTCTGATGACCAGCAGAAACACATGAGGACCAGAAGACTTGTGGACATGCTTTGATATATTTTTCCCAATTTTATCATGTGTTGTCGTGTGAAACAGGCCTGGAGTGTCGATGATTGAGATGCTCTTTGTATCCATCTCTCCTGCTCCAATCTCACAGGCTTTAGTAACTGACTCAGAGGTATCATCTTTCTCAAAGTACTCTAGATTCAGTATAGTGTTTCCAGCCGAACTCTTTCCAGATCCGTTTTTACCCAGAAGAACAATCCTGAGTTCAGATGAAGTTGAAGCTGTGAATCAGAGTAAAATAGATGTGTTTAAACTGAGCATAAACAGCTAGTAAATCAAGTATTGCTACTATTTTTAACTAAGATTTATCACGAAGATGGTTTTGTTCATAATATTATGTTACTTCATGGTTATAATGCCAGAATCATATAAAAAACACATTTACATGGCTGTGTTCTGTAATCTTCCTGGTACATCTCTTGCGTAATGGTGTAGTGTTGGCCTCCATTCAGTGTTATCATCATGTCAATCTTCTCCATCAGCGCAGTGACTTGTGAGCCGTTTTCCATGTCTTTATAGTTGAATGAGTGAAATCTGCCTCCACATTGAAAAACAAGAGCCTGTAGATCATCACTTTCACCAATATACTTATGCAGTGATTGACCATTCAGATGGTCAGCATGAGTGAACAGAATGATGGTGTAGCGAGCAGCTTCTTCTCCGAAGTTCTCCTGAATCCATTTCACCATGTTTTTCTCCTCTTCTGTGAATTTCACATCCAGTCTGACGACCAGCAGAAACACATGAGGACCGGGAGCAGACATCTCTACACACTTCTTCATCTCTTTGCTCATAATCTCATTCGGTGCATAAGTTAGTCCCGGCGTATCGATTATTTTTATGATCTTTCTGGCCACATTTGCTTTATGTAGTTCACATGTTTTGGTTGCAAAATCTGCTGAATTTCTCCTCTTAAACTTCTCTTTGCCCACAATAATGTTTCCTGCTGAGCTCTTTCCCGATCTGCTTTTACCCAGCAGAACAACCCTCGGTTTCCCAGACCCTGAAAGTCAAAATGTAAAATACAATAATTGTTAGAAATCAACGAATAAGCACTACATATAAGTGCTTCCATGCATCTTTTAGTTTTAAAATTGAAATCCTTCCAATTTTAAATAAATCAAATAAACATTGTAAATTAAAATGAAAACCAGATCAACAATTTCATTTTAAAACACTGTACACAAAATATAATTCAATATAATTCAATATAAAATTGAAATTATTTATTTTAATTTTCACCAAGACAACAAATTGTCCCTGTCAAATCTCTAAATAAAATTAAGTTGGCGTTTTAACATTTCATTTTTACTGCATTTCCGCATCCAGACTGCCAATATTAAAATGAAAAGCCAAACTGAAAAATAAAATTTATTCAGGAGATGTTGAGTGTTTTTATTGGCTGAGGGGAGAAGCACGGTTTTGATGATTTAGGACAACGTGAATTACTAATGTATATATAACAGAAGTAAAATTGCAAAAACTATTAATCAGCTTTTATGTGAAGCAGCTGCTGCATTGGTACATTGAGAGGAACAGAGGACACAGAATAACCAACCGTTAAAAATTCATCCCACAGCAGGAGTCACAGGCTTCTATGGTGGGCAGAGAAACCATGCAGCGCAAGTACGGCAGGTCTTGTGATAAATTTGTATAGAATACTGTATTAGATCTTGTGATGCTCACAACCAGCCTGATCTCATGAGAAAACATAAGTTTTTTACATTTTGTCAGTTTAGTGGCTAATTTGTACAAATTCGTACAAGTTCAGTCGTACGAAATTGTACGATTTTAAAAAGGAGGCGTGGCACCCACCCCCACCCCTAAACCCATCCGTCATTGGGAGATGAGCAAATCATACTAAATTGTACAAGTTAGATTGTACGAATTCATACGAATTAGCCACTAAATCAAAAAGTTTCGTTTTGCCCTAAGATTTCGTTTTAACAACTTGTTATTACTCAAATATTTGAAAGACAGATAAATTAGCTCGCTAAAGTTGGTTTTAGGCTTGATATTTGCCGGACATTCGCGCACGCAATTTTAGGGATAATCTGCGAATTACATCGTCAAAACCAAAACACACAGTAACATAAAGATAATGAAATAGTTAATCTGGTTTTCATTTTAATTTCCCATGTTTATTTGAATTATTTAAAATTAGCAGGATTTACTGTCCATAGCTTTCTCTTGTTGATAATATTTCTTTTGGTTTGCTGCTGTTCAAAAACAGTGACATTGGTGGTCAGAGTGCTCCAAACTGAGGCTCGGAGTGGCTGTAATCCAATCAGAATATTGAATAGATCTGTTTTTGTCACCCATAAGTGTTACCAGATTTCTCAATTTTCCCTGGACAGTCCCTTATTTCAGCACTACTGCGAAAACCGTCCAATCAAAGGTAGGTTTACCAAGCTCGTCATGGCCGGGATAGGCAGAATCATGCTGAATGGACTCATAACCTCATGAACTTAAGAAACTAGCTCGTGTCCACAGCAGCAGTTATCAAACAGCAGTTATTAAAATGTCTATCATATTGCGTAAGTCTAACTGAACCAGTTAGAAAGCAAATGTTTTATTAAATGCTTGCTTTGCACCTTTACTTTGCCCAGAGCCTAATGTGTTCCTAATTCAGCCCTGTTCATGATAAGGATGTTTTAAAGACAAATACTTACAGAACTGTTTTTTTTCTTGAGCTTTCTCAAAGATTTCATTGGTGTAGTTCAGCAATCCTTTAACCTCTACAATCTTTTCAATCTTTTCCAGCAGCTCTGTAACCTGACTGTCTTGATTGTTGAATGAGTGAAATCTGTCACCACAGCGGTTCACCAGTGACTGTAGATCACTTCTCTCTTTAACATGGTCAGTTAAAGATTTTCCCTTCAGCTTATCAACATGAGTAAAGATAACTACAGTGAAATCAACAGCTTCTTCACCCAAGTTTTCCTCGATCCATTCCAGTGCACTCTTCTCTGTTTTTTTCGGTGTCTCGTCCAGTCTGATGACCAGAAGAAACACGTGAGGACCAGGAGCAGATTTGTTGATCACTTTCTCTATTTCACTCTTTATCATCTTCTCTGGTACATCAATCAGTCCTGAAGTGTTGATTATTTTCACTTTCTTTCCATGTATGTTCACTTCTTCTGCTTTGTTGGTTTTTGCAGAACTCTTTCTACTCAAAATAGTTTCTAATGTACTGGTCATTCCTGATCCAGGTTTACCCAGCAGCACAATCCAAGGTTCTGCAGACCCTGTCATTTGAATTCACACATTTACAAAGCAGATATTACAGTGGAAGGACTAAAAGGATTTATTTTCTAAACATCTTTTACTGTGGTATTAACCATGATGAAAGATACAGAGTCAAACCAAAAACTTACAGAATGTATTTCGGTTTTGAACTGCCTGGTACATCTCATTAGTGTAGTGTTGTCCTCCATTCTCCTCCACCATCTTCTCAATCTTCTCCATCAGTTCAGCGACCTGTGATCGATTGCTTGTGTCTTCATTGTTGAATGAGTGAAATCTGCCACTGCACTGACTTACAAGACCCTGTAGATCATCACTTTCTCTAATATACTCTTCCAGTGGTTTTCTCTTTAGTTGATCAGCATGAGTGAACAGAATGATGGTGTAGCGAGCAGCTTCTTCTCCAAAGTTCTCCTGAATCCATTTGACAGTGTTTTTCTCTTCTTCTGTGAATCTCACATCCAGTCTGATGACCAGCAGAAACACATGAGGACCGGGAACAGACAGCTCTACACACTTTTCTATTTCAAGCTTTATTTCTTGTTTTTCCAGCATCGTATCAAATAGTCCTGGAGTGTCGATGATGAAGATCCTCTTTTCATAAATCTCTGCTTCTCTTTTATCGCAGGTTTTAGTAACTGATTCTGCTGAAACTGCTGTCTCAAAACTCTCTTTTCCCAGTATATTGTTTGCAGCTGAACTCTTTCCTGACCCAGTTTTACCCAAAAGAACAATCCTGAGTTCAGGTGATGTTGATCCTGTAAATAATTTGTAAGCTGTTAATTAACTTTGTTATAAAATTAAAAATATAAGAAACTTTTTTTTTTAAAGGTGCTATATAGTGCATTGACTCAATACATTAAATTGTTCCTGAAGCACGTGTAGTAGGTATGTGATTGATTGATTGATTGATTGATTGATTGATTGATTGATTGATTTTATTTGACAATTTTACCAAAAAATATGCAAACAAGTCCAGTTAGACTAATTCATACATATTTTAAAAACTGTCGAGGATAAAATACACAAAAAAGCCACAGGCTCATTTCCATTGTAATCCTCGATATTCTTAAAAAATGGACAAGCAAATCATTAATGGATTGCAAACATCAACAGCTCAGCAACTCGGCACAAAAAACTTCAACTTTAAAACAACCACTTTTTAATTTGCCTTCTAATAACACTCTCAATTTGAATCTCTTTAAAAATGGTGGGCAAAATATTCCAAGCAGCTTGTACACAAAAAAGAATTTCTACCTGATTCACTCTTGAATCTATATGGGTAAATATCCCTGCTGCGTGCTCTTGTAGAATGACTGTGCACCTCGCTGACTAAACATAATAATTAAGAAAATATTTTGGGACCGTTTTCTTTAAAATCTTAAAAACCATCACTAATTTTTAAAACTTTAACCTCTTCTCAACTTTTAAAAAATTATTTTGACTATAATGTTCCTTATTTAAATGTGTCAGTGGAGGAACTTTCATAATAATTCTACACAACGTATTTTTGGCTGTCTGCAATTTATTTTAAATTTTTTTAGAAGTACCGCTGTACCAAAAAGCTGCAGCATAGTCAAAGTATGGCTGCACTAATGCACTAGCTAAAAAATGTTAAGTTTTGGTATCTAGGAGCACTGCCTGTCTTGCTAAAAACTTTACTCTAGAACAAATTTTTGAATGGACTATAACAGCCATCTTTTCACCTGTCAAATCTAAATTGCAACCTAAGTATTTTACTACCTGTTTTGGAGTAATAATTTGATCCCCTACTTTTATCTTTGCCCTGACACATTTTCTTAATTTCGCAGCTGGACCAAATAAAATAAATTCAGTTTTACCCAAATGTAAGGATAACATATTAAGACAAAACCATTCAGAGACTTCCTCAATTTGTTTACTTATTTTGTTTTCAATAAATTCACTCCTATCATGAGACACAATTATAGCTGCATCGTCCGCATATAACAAAAGCTTATTTGAACAAGCCATTTTCAAATCATTAATATATTTTAAAAAAGCAACGAACCTAAAACACTGCCTTGTGGAACACCCATAAGTGATGGGTGAATAATCTGATAATACTCCATTTAAATCTACTATTTGACTTCTATTTTCAAGGTAAGATTTTATCCATTTACAGGCCAAGTTTCCAAAACCCATTGCTTTTACTTTTAAAAGCAATATGCTGTGGTCAACTGTATCAAATGCTTTTTGAAGGTCTAACAAAACCATCCCACTCAACTTACCTTTATCTATATCTCTCTTTATATAATCAGTTAAATATAAAATTGTTGAATCAGTAGAATGATTTTTCCTAAAACCCGATTGAAATTTTTAATCTGCTCATAAATAATTTTCTCCATCACTTTAGACAAAGAACTCAAAATTGATACCGGCCTATAATTATTAACATCAAACCTACAACCTTTCTTAAAAAGCGGAATAACTCTTGCTTGTTTCAGCTCATGTGGAACTTTACCAAGACAAATAGAAAGATTAATAATATGTGTAACCATTGGAGAGATAAATTTCACAGAGTCTTTTAGGAACTGCACTGGTATATTATCTAACCCAGTTGCTCTACTATTTTTTAATGCTTTTAATTTCTTAAATATGTGTGGCTTAGGTAAATTATCCAGAAATAGTTTTATATGTTCATAGCCACATAAATTACCCCTAGAATGAAAAGTTCAGTTTTGACCATATTTGGAACTTGAATATTATGGGCTCTGCTCTAAAACTCCTGCATGTCTTTTCAGTATACCTGCTATGGTGAAATCAACAGCTTCTTCACCCAAGTCTCTCTCTCTCTTTCTTTCTCACACACAAATACACACAAACACACAAATGCACACAGCCTATGGTACATTGCAATACACACATTCAAAATATTCATACTTAATTGCAAAAAGGTTTTAATGAACTAAGTAGATTCCTTGTTAAATCTTTTCAAATTAAGTGGTGGACAGGATTATTTTAGCAATAAGAAGTGAATAAGCAATCTTTAAGCCCTAATAAAATAAAATAAAACATAATAAAATATAGTCTAAATTATAACTATACTCAACCCTTTGACCCCACCTGTATTTGAAGTTGTAGCTTGACCCCTTAATGTGCATGAAAATGCAAGCAGGAATAAATATTAGCTTCTGCATAGACAGATGACTTTATTAAAACATATCGGTATCCTTTACCTGCAGAACAATTACAGTAAGAGCTGAGAGATACAACACCATGCATAAATGTGATTGTATATTCAGCAGTTTTTACATGTTTGTTGTCTTAATACGAAAATACACTGTAATTTTTGCAATATACATGCTAAAACAGATGTTTTGTCTCTTCAGGGGGTGCTGAATAAATTTATAATCTGTATACCTTTTCTTTTGAATTTTGATGGCTGTGAACATTCTATGGTTGCTCTCTGCTTCTATTTAATTTCCCTGCATCTCCCATTTTCAAAATAAGAGTTCATCATGAATACTATGTTTTGGTCATCCATATTAATGGTCCTATGTGTAAAGTCTGTGATTGATTCCAACTGGCCTGGTATTTACATGAGAATATGGAAACAATGGTGTTTGAGACTTACGGTATGCCCATTTCCATGTACTACTTAACTCTCATTATTCAGGTATGCCTAAGTACAGTATATCCAGACTTTCATTATATGGTATCTTTAACATCATGATAAAATATCAGCTTAGTTAAAGTTTTCACATTACCTGTGTTGTCTTGTACCCATTTTTGAGTCGTCTCCTGAGCCTCAGCATCATCATGATGGTAAGACAGATTTTGAAATCTTATATTTCTGTGTCTCCTCACAGCTAATGTTTCACTTTCTAAAATGATACACTGTACTTCAGTTGTGACAGATGCATGCTATATAAACAATTAAACAATCTATTATTGTTATTCCAAACATAGTTTGAAAACAAACCTAATGATACTGAAACTTTGAAGGGTAAGAGTTTACATTATCATATGCATTTGTTAATATAGAAAAACATGTATTTTTCACCAAGAAGGTGCATACAGATTCCAAAGGCAGATACTAATAAGATCAGGGCCTGGTGTGTGGACTTTTGGGGTTTTACGATGTGGTCACACGTTGATTGGTCAGTTTGAATGTCTCAGGCCCTGTTTACACTAGTACGTTTTAGTTTTAAAACAGCATTTTAGAATGAAACCGATCCAAGTCCACACTAGCGTTTCACATTATATCATTTTCATATCATGTGACCACACACACACACAGAGCTGTGCTTGTCGGACTGTTACGTTGTACTTTTATAATGACAGTTATTGATTATTAAGACTGATATTCAGTGAAAGAGAGGGTGTGTTTCATATTCTGAATGAAAATGAAAGGAGGCAGTGATGTTATAGACTCTATTTTGTTATAAATATGCACACAGTGAAGATGACGCATATGTATGCTGTACAACGCCTAAACATTTATGCTGTCTGATAAGTTGTTAATATCAAAATGAAAATAGCAGTTCCTTAAATCATGTTTTTATTTTATTGTTAAGAAAGGGTAGCAATGTACGTATCCAGGATGATATGAAAGAGGTTATAAAATATGCTGTTTCTTTTTGAAGATTTACCCGAAATGTCCTCGGGAGTCTGTTTTCCATATTAAACGTGCAAAGTCTGAACTTACAAGGAGAGGATGCAGAACTTTAACTGTGTGTAGGCTACTTAATATTGAGGAAAAGCCCCAATCAGATAGACGAATGTTGGCAGCTCTGTCTCCCTTTTCCAACCCGGGCTCATTGTAGAAACGTAGTCCCGCGGACGTTTCTGGAGACCGCGGAATATTTCCTGGCGGGTACGTACGGCTGCAGTTTTTGTTTTCCCGAATCCACGAGAAGCCGCTGTTGCGCGCTTTTTCGCACCTCAGACGCCTCTCGCGAGCACGGTTTGCGCCCGCGCTGTTCTCGCGTGAACCCGCCGGAGGCCACTGTCCGACTGACCGGATGATTGACTGTGCGACCGGCCAATCGGCCGACTCGCCCTCCTCCTTCCTTAAACCCAACCAATTTTACTGATCGACCCGCCCGCCCGCTCGCTTCCCTAAACCCGAGCGACAGTTCACAAAAACCGTCCAAAAAAATAAAAGCCCTGATTTTTTTTTATTCCACCGCGTTTTCGGATTTCGCCGCATTCTCACCCTGTCACGAAACTCGTTCACTTAATTTTTGGGATTCTGTTTTCGTCTTACCTGATTGCTGGAACTGCTCTTCCGCGGACTCGAAACCGGTCGCCGTGGTCGACCCCTCTCTGCATCTCGAGCCTGCCGACGTACACGCTGAGCTGAGTGGACAAACGGGTTGCAGCGGGGAAGCCCTCCACAAGGAGGTAAGGCAAGCGCAAAAGGGAACAGGGTCACACCGCCCCGCAGCGTTTGCTTGAAAAAAATAACACGGCCGTACGTACCCCCTGGGACGTATTCTGCTGTCTCCAGAAACGTCCGCGGGACTACGTTTTCAGAATGAGCTTGGGTTGCCCTTTTCAGATGTCTCCATTTTTCCCCATCCACACTGAGACAGTGCAGCAGCGTTTTAAAACAAAAATGCCCTCTTCAGTGCTTCCAAAATGCTCTGTTTTCGGCACTCGAGAACTCCGGCAAAGTGTGGATGAATGGTGTAACCACAGCAAAACGTATGAGTTTTAAATCGAAAATGCATTATTGTAAACGGGCCTCAGTATTTGGGCATTTGTCACATGGTCAAGAAAGGGACAAAATAGTTGAATAAACTTTGATCGGTCTCTTTTTCCTCCTCTGCTCCTCTCCTGATGGAGTCTATCTTTTCTGTCTCTACTGCTATCAGGCTATCTACTCTGTTTATCTCTCTTTCCTTCCCCCTTTCCCTCCCCCTCTGTCAGGTAACTTTATTTTTTTCATTTAAGCTGGGTACAAATAATATCATGTTTTTATCATTTCATGTTTTATCATTTTATACAGTTATTTTATAACTAATTCAGTTATTATCGTCATTAAATCATTTCATGTTCAAGTATTTGTGAATTATGTTTGATTTAACATCAACACTTAATTGCTCCGTATTGTAATACAATCACACAATATCAACGTTCTCCCACATTTTTAGCTATCAATGCTGCTCTTATTTCCATTTTTTGTATAAGATTGCAGAAGTCAACTTTTTTAGTCATTTGGCAAAACTACAGTTCTAACCCCTATAGTTAACAAAACAAACAAACAAACAAAAAAACAAACAAAAATGAAATATTAGAGCTAAACATTTAGGCAAATAAACATAGAATAATTTAGTATTAACAGTACATGTTTTTGTCCTTACATGAATATATGATTTCTACCAAGTAACTTTAAAAGCTGATTTACAACTTCTATTTAGTAGCACATAGGAAATGACTGTTTATTTGACAGGAAATAGGAACAGAAGAAAAACAGGAGTGAGACTGTAAATATTGGTAATAACTTAAATTTGTATTCATACAGAACAAAAATGACTTACCCTCAAAACTGCTTTCATTATCTGTTGAAATCAGACTTTCTACAAAAACATAAATACATTTCTAAGAATTATTGTAACTAATATTTAATAATGTGATCATTCAGAATATGTGTTGGCTATATGCAGATTATACTTAGATTAAATGGCATGAAAAATATTTAGAAATGTACTCACCACACTCACTCATCTTTACGTTTTGAATACTTAATAACAAATAGCTAAAACTGTAAATATTTAATCACTCATTTGTTATTATAAATTGTAAACACCCATGCTCAGTTTAAAACACCATGGAGTTATTTCAGTTTGAACTAAACCTTTATCTTGTTCTGGAGCTTATCTGGTAAATCTTCCACGTCATACAAACAGGGGCGGACTACTGGGTCACAACATTTTGCCAGGTAATTCCACACCTACCCGGACCATCCTTTTGTAAATGAACTGTCACAAAATAAACATACTGACTTCTGTAAACTTAAACTCATCGTCTCAATGGCAAATATTGTCCCGATCATTCTTCAATTGCAAATTCAACAGAACTGTCTCCACTTTGTGCAAAACAGCCACCTTTAATTTTATAGTACATTTATTCTTTTAGTACCTTTTATCAAATGCAACTTAGATTCTAATTAGATTCAAAATCTAAACAACTTAGCATTTTTGAATTTATTCAATTATTTATTAGCCTTAAAGTGATAGAGACCCAAAACTGAACCAAACAGTACATTTCAAACATATGTCAAGACAAGTTATTTATGCAACCCTGACTGAATCTGACGTGTGATCACTGCATCAGAGTGATAACAGCTAAAATAAGCCTATAGACTATAATCTGTAAGAGGAACAAAAGTTTTGAACCACACAAATTAGCAGACATTTTTTTTAAATGTAAAAATTTGTTTAATATTGACTTTTTTAAATAATAAAATGTAATTTCACTTTTTGACATTCATTCTTGCAGTCTAGCTCCAGTCTCCTTTCTGCCTGAGTGGTATATGCTCATGTTTGTCTCTTCTATGTGTTGCAGCTCAGCATTATCTGCTGTCGTGAACACTATAAGGTGTTTGTCAATGGTGAACAACCACAGACTTTCAGCCACCGCTTCACTAAACTGCCGGAGCTGGATGTTGTGGAAGTCAGTGAAAATGTGGAGCTGAGCTTTGTGCAGCAATGAAGAGTTCATACATATCTATGAGAAAGACTAAACCTGCATACACCTGTATAAACTTGTCAGAAAGATTCACAAGATAATTGTGCGTATATAATCAGCCTATTCACATTCAGAGATGATTTGATTGTCTGCATTTTAATTTTAAATTCATATTATAATAAAAATATACAATAAATGAACTGCTCTGCCTGCATGCGTTCAAGCCATTTGTGCAAATACCTTTAGTAAAGTTTGTTATTTCAAAACATGTTCATTGGAAATTGTGCAATACTTTCATACAGTTTATTCAAATGTTTTATTTATTTCTAAAACAAAGGACATAAGTAAATGTACTTTTAAACAAAGAACATATCAACCAATCGATCATATGTATCAATCTATCTTTTCGGTTTAAACAGATTATATTGTCACACAGATACAGAAAGAAAAGCTCTTCAGGGTCACCATTATGCATGTTAATCGGCTTATAATAATGTATAGTAAGGTAGAGCTTTTAATAATGTCTACTAATGCCACAAATAAAGCAATGCTTACATCCAATTAAACAATGAAAAGCCTGCAATTATTCAATATGTTTGTCCTCTTTTTCACAATAGTCAAATAGAAACAGCAGCATATTGAATAAGATAGTTTCCTTATGTATCAGCTATAATTGTAATTGTAATAATAATATTTATCATTTGCTGTCCCGCTGTCTGACCCGCCCCGTTTTCTACCCGCCGTGCCCGTTCCTGCTAAAGAGCAGGGGGAGAACAAAACCGAAAACCACCCAGCTATACAGAGTCCAGACAGCCTATAACAAGCTGTCTGCATAAACACACACAGCACACAGCTTTCTCTCTCTCATTCCTGCACGCACACATACACACACACACACACAGCTAAACGCAGCATCACGCTGTCTCATTCACACACATACATACGTGTGCTCGATCGCTCTCTCGATTGTCGGAAGAGATATTGTTAGACTGCCCGCTTCTGTCCAAAATTAAACCAGTGACCGACCGATCCCTTTATTCGGAAATGTATTACCGCGATGCAGAAATCTGGTCAGCCGCGGGAAAGTAGACTGTTTTTCCAACAGTTTTAAATAAAAAAAAAATCAATCTCTGACCAACTACACATAAAATAAAAAATAAATAAAGTCTTCATTGCAGACTACCCATATGCTTCCCAATTATCAGCTAACAAATATAATATATACAAGGGATAGCATTCACGTTTTGCTTGAGAACTGAGGAGTTCACAAAAATTTATACAAGTCACATGGTTACCAGAATCCTTGTCAGCACCCTCTGCTGCAGAATATTTTCAAATAACCGATGATGACGAGAACAAGAACCTAAATTTTAGATAGAATTGCATCATAAACTAAGCAGGGTTGTTTGGGAGGTGGGGTGAGGATAAAAGGAGCAGTCCAGATTCACTGTGGCAGGCCAGACCATCAAGCCATCTTCAAATGTTCCGGTGCTCATTATGGCCAGCCAATCCCTGCCATGCTCTAAAGATATATATATATATATTATTTATTTATTTTTTTCTATACAATATACATATACAAACAAAAAGAGTAAATATATCAGCAAGTAAAGGAGAAGAGAGCAAGCAGGAGAGAAAATAAAATTCTGAAATTCTTAAAACGTAGCCTATTTACATTTCTGGAGATCGTGAATTATGTAGCCAGAGGTACGTGTAACGCGGATGTGACACTGACAACAGGGGTGCCGATCCAAAGGCAGGTTTATTGGCGAAGTCAGGTAAGCAATGGTCAACACAGGGGGAAACAGATCTATACGGACAATCCAGAGTCGTAGTCAAATACACAGGCAGATGGTCAGAAGGCAGGCAGCTGACAGGAATACACAGATAAACAAGGCGAGGATCAAAACCAACCTTGATCAATGTGTGTGTATGAGAGGTGTAAATGTAGTCTATGTAATCAGTCCAAAAGCAAGTTTAGCTGTGAGTGTTTAATCAGTAGTGATTTGGAGCAGGTGAGTGTGTGTTGCATGACTGGGATTTGTTGTCCATTACGAGGCAGGATTGTAGTTCGTGTGAGTGTTTTCCAGTGATCTCTGGTGTTTAGATCGCTGGTGATCGCATTTCATTTTTAAAACAAATGCTACAGGGAGGTATGATGTTGTTCCTTTTCGCACTACCAACTGACCGCTTACCTCCATATGGATGGCTTTCCTACTGTTACAACTTTGCCCAATGGCTCGCCGTGTACGTTGTTGGAATTGAGACACAGAGAGGAGTTGACCACGACAATGTTTGATTCTGGTGAAGAACAGTTCCAGAGGCGAGTAAAACAAAAACAAAAGCTAATAAAAATAAAATAAACAAGTAAATAATAGGGTGAAAATGTGGTAAAATCTAAAAACATGGTAAAGATCAGGCGAGGGCTTTTCTTTTTCTAGATTACTTTTTAAAACTGTTGGTTGGGTTTAGGGAAGTGGGACGGTGGCCAATCTGTGCTTTTGAAAACAATATTGGTTGGGTTTAGGAAAGAAGGAGGGTGGGGGATGAGTCGATTGGTCAGTTAGTAAATCAGTCAGTGGACAGCGGCCTCTCGTGGATTTACGTAAGAACAGCACTTGCCAATGGCAGTCAAGAGAGAAGTTTCAGATCTGTAAAAGCATACACAGCAGCCTCTGGTGGATTCATGGAAACAAAAACTGCAAAAAACATAGCTCCAGGTATGTATTTAGCGTTTTCCAGAAATGTATACAGGGGTACATTTCAGAATGAGCCTGAGTTGGAAAAAACAGGAGGGAGATATGACCCTGCCTCAAGAAAGTCTATAGATATTACATCTGATTAATGTACAAAAAGCCTACATTTTCAGCTAATTTAGGCCAAATATTTCAATTATTTTATTAGTCTTGTTATATGTGTTATGGTGTGGTGTGTTTATGCAGAGAACTGATTAGCAACAGTGTGCTAATTTCTTTTTAGTTTTGTGACCACTTGAAAAATGGCAGCTCTGATTAAAACGGCGCCTCCTACTGCAACTAGCACTGCTGGAGCGACGATAATCTCTGTCACTCCCAGGACGATGCCCCCTGCTATCATCGCTACTGCTCTCACTGGTCCAATTCCTTCTGCCGCGTTATGCAGTTTACATATATAACTATTGGTTGTGTTCTGAAACCTTTCTCTATTTGTGTAGTACCTCCATGTGTTTTCCTCTGCCATTATTTCAATTTTTTTCAGCAGTTCCTTTACCTGACTTTGATCGTTTTTGTCCTCATTGTTAAATGAGTGATATCTACCGTTACTGATAACCGGTAATTTAAGACGCATCCTCGCACTGATATAATCATCTAAAGATTTACCCCTCAGATCAGTGTGTGTGAACAGAATGATGGTGTGATTTACAGCTTCTTTGCCAAAGTTCTGCTGAAGCCATTTGACTGCGTTTTTAACCTCATCTACAAATCTCTCATCCAGTCTGATGACCAGCAGAAACACATGAGGACCAGGAGCAGATTTACTGATAATTTTCTCTTTTTCAGTCTTTATCATTTTCTCTGATGTATCAATCAGTCCTGGAGTGTCAAATATTTTAAGGTTCTTTCCATCCACATGTGCATCTTCTGCTTTACAGTTTTTAGTAAAACTCTCTCTACCCATGATAGTTTCTAATGTGCTGGTCTTTCCAGATCCGGATTTACCCAGCAGCACAATATTTGATTTTGCAGACCCTGCCAATCCAAAGGTAAAAGAAAAAAAGCTTGTTCAGAGCCTAACAATCATGTACAGCAAACTATTAATCCTTAAACATGTAATCTTATGATAATAAACTCAACATTTAATCTTGTGGTAATGAAACAAACACGCATACACACACTTACAGAGCTGGTTACTTGACTGAGCATTTTGGCAGATCTCATTAGTGTAGTGCAGTCCTTCATTCTCCTCCATCATCTTCTCAATCTTCTCCATCAGTTCAGCGACCTGTGTTCGATTACTCATGTCTTCATTGTTGAATAAGTGAAATCTGCCTCCACACTGACTAACTAGACCATAGAGATCGCTATTTTTTTCTCTGATATACTCTTCCAGTGCTTTTCTCTTTAGTAGATCAGCGTGAGTGAACAGGACGATGGTGCATTGAACAGCTTCTTCTCCAAAAGTTTCCTGAATCCATTTCAAAGTGTTTTTCTCTTCTTCTGTGAGTGTCTCGTCTAGTCTGATGACCAGCAGAAACACATGAGGACCAGAAGACTTGTGGACATGCTTTGATATATTTTTCCCAATTTTATCATGTGTTGTCGTGTGAAACAGGCCTGGAGTGTCGATGATTGAGATAGTCTTTGTATCCATCTCTCCTGCTCCAATCTCACAGGCTTTAGTAACTGACTCAGAGGTATCATCTTTCTCAAAGTACTCCAGATTCAGTATACTGTTTCCAGCCGAACTCTTTCCAGATCCGGTTTTACCCAGAAGAACAATCCTGAGTTCAGATGAAGTTGAAGCTGTGAATCAGAGTAAAATATATGTGCTTAAACTGAGCATAAACAGCTAGTAAGTCAAGTATTGCTACTATTTTTAACTAAGATTTATCAGGAAGATGGTTTTGTTCATAATATTATGTTACTTCATGATTATAATGTCCAAATCATAGAAATAAAACACATTTGCATTGCCATGTTCTGTAACCTTTATGGCACATCTCATTATTGTAGAGCTGCTATTGTAGTTAACTGTAGTTTTAACCCAGGCTCATTGGAGATACGTGCCATTTAGATGTCAATTTAGAAGCCGTTCTGTAATGTAATGTGATGCGCATTCATATATACCCATATACCCAAAAGTTCTTTACAATCATGAAAGGGCATCTTCTCCTCACTACCACCAGTGTGCAGCATCTACTTGGATGATGTGACAGCTGTCACATGACAACTGTGCCAATCCTCTAATTACACACCAGCTATAGTTGGAGAGGAGATACCATGATAGTACCAATTCACTGTTTGGGGATAATTGGGAGGCCATGATGGGTAAGAGCAGAATTTGGCTAGGACATCAAGGTTACACCCTACTCTTCATAAGAAGTGCCTTGGGATATTTAATGAGTCAGGACCTCGCTTTAACGTCTCATCCAAAGAACATATCTGCAAATCTCAAATACATTCTTGGGCCCTAAGTAGCTGGCAGGCTTGTCATGCATAATATATCACTTTGAGATTGACTGGCTCACCCCCTTTCCAAAATGCAACCGATAGTGTTTTCAAAAGCAAAGCAGAAGAAAAAAGCACATAGTGTCTCATGCTTTTACCACAGTTTTCACATTGCTTTTTGTCTGATGCCATACAAGGTGAGCTACCAAGCAAACTGACTGCTCATATAAACGGAGTTGATCCTAGGCTAAATATTGGGGAGTTGGTGGTGGGCTTCCGAAACTTGTGGGGTTCTAGGCATATAGGGCAAATCGGTACTGCTTACAAAGATAAGCAGGCAAAGTGAATTTGTTTTGGTGCTTTTTATTTGGTGCTGCATGAACAGCTGTGCAAAAACAAGCTTTTATCTGTTGATGATTTTCCCCTATAAAAATGTCAGAAGTTGCCTTAAAATAAACAGAAGTTACCTGCGGAACCTCAGAGCATTTGTTGTACCCCACAAACTACAGGCAGATGTGGTTTCCCAATAGTTTAGCCCTGGACACAGGGTCAGCACATCCATAGAGGCAACCTAGGCAGCGGCCTAAAACGGCAGAATAGTGAGGGCGGCGTCTGCGACAGCCTCATCCTTCCCTCTGGTCCTCACTTTCGTTTGTGACACCATCACCCCTGCCCTGCCGTTTCTCACTTTTATCCGGGACACCCCATTAACACACCCAGTGGTGGATAGAGTACACAAAAGTCATACTCAAATAAAAGTACTATTACTTGCCTAAAAATGTAATGCCAGTAGAGTTAAAGTGTTTGTTGTAAATATTACTGAAAGTAGGAGTAAAAAATAAATATTTTAAAAGTACTCAAAAGTAGTGAGAGTATTACGCTGTTAAAAGCTGACGCATTTACCTGTAATTTGTGCATGTGTGTGTGTAAACGTAACATTCAGTAGTGCATAGTTGTTGCCCAGCAGGCACACAACATCATAAGACATTAATATTAGGTTAGATTTAGGTTGTGATGTCAGGTGATTAAAACTCAATGTCTAGTTAGCATCCAAGGACAATGTTATTTTGATGTCCAGTAACGGCATCACATGACGTTGATATTTGGTTTATTTTAGGTTGTTAGAAAGTGACCAAAATCTATCGTCGAGCCAACTTTTTAAACCAACGTCAAATTAACATCAAATACTGACATTTATTCCGTAGGCATGGCACCCAAAATCCAACATCTGATAGACGTCATAGTGGTAACCTCCACACGATGTTAAGCTGTAAAATCATTAAACATTGACATTTGGTTGATTTTAGGTTTGTACGTTGGACATTGATGTTGGGCTGATGTTGAGTTCTAACGTCAACCCGATTTTCATTTGCAAACAAATCTGACACCATGTTGACGTCTTGTGCATACTGGGTGCTTGATATTTCTGTCATCAAACAGTAAACATCCGTCATCTTCTCATCAGTGACCTGCATCTAAACAGTCTCAGGGTCAATGCATGTAAAGATTATGGACATCTTCTTAGACACCTAATGCCTCCAAACAGTTTGAGCAATTATAAATCCCCCATGTGTTGAGGTAGTGCATTATGATAAGATTTACCTTCTATATGTGATTTGATTGGACAGGAATCACAGGACTGATTTTTATAATCCCCATAGACAGGAAAAATAAAGTAGTGACTGCAGGATGAAGGAAAGTAGTGAAGCAAAAGTACCGATACAGCACAAAAAATGTACTCAAGTAAAAGTAAAAGAGCACATTTATAAAACTACTTTGTAAATTACAATTCCTGAGAAAAACTACTCAATTACAGTACTTTGAGTATTTGTAAATAGTTACATGTAACTAAACACACCAACCCCTGTCCTCACTTTTGTCTGCGAGACCCCATCCCTCACGCTCTTCACTTCGTGAACTGGCCACTTCTGTTTTCATTTTACATTTTCGGGTTGAGGGCGGCATGATCATCGTTTACCTAGAGCACCAGTTCAGCTTGGTGGGGCTCTGCCTGGACACATATTCCCAATGAGCCTGCATTGTGTAGTTTACATTAACATTTAGTCATTTTGCAGATGCTTTTATCCAAAGCGACTTACAAATGAGGACACGAAGCAATTTACACAACTATAAGAGCAACAATGAATAAGTGCTGTAGGCAAGTTTCAGGTATGTAAAGTGTAAGACACAGAAGATTAGTAATTGTTTTTTTCTGTAATACAGTTAGCGGTGGAGCCAGAGAGGCAATTGCAGATTAGGAAGGAAAGTGGAGACTAAATAGTTGAGTTTTTAGTCGTGTCTTGAAGACAGCGAGTGACTCTGCCGTTCTGATGCAGTTAGGGAGTTCATTCCACCAACTGGGCAGATTGAGCGCGAGCGTTCGGGAAAGTGATTTTTTCCCTCTTTGGGATGGAACCACGAGGCGACGTTCATTCACAGAACGCAAGTTTCTGGAGGGCACATACATCTGCAGAAGTGAGAGCAGATAAGAAGGAGCAAAGCCAGAAGTCGCTTTGTAAGCAAACATCAGAGTTTTGAATTTGATGCGAGCAGCAACTGGCAGCCAGTGCAAACGGATGAGCAGCGGAGTGACATGTGCTCTTTTAGGTTCATTAAAGACCTAAGATTAAAGTTGAATTTGTTATGTCTTTTTAAGTTTACATACTGAGTGTTGCAAAATTAAGTTTGATTCTATTATAGAGTCATTAAAAGCAAATAAATTAAAAAGTCCTGACTAGGCATCACTTTTAGCCACTTTTGTAGGTCATGATTTTGCACATTAATGTACAAAAAGAAACACACACTTACAAAACGACATCCTTTTCTTAGCTTCCTGGCGCATTTCATTAGAGTAGTGTTTTCCATCATTCTCTCTCACCATGCTGTCGATCTTCTCCATCAGTTCAGTGACCTGAGAGCGGTTCTCCATGTCTTCATTGTTGAATGAGTGAAATCTACCACCAAATATCTGAGTGAATGCCTGTAGGTCTGATCTGTTCTTAATGTACTCATTCAGTGGTCTCTCATTCAGATGGTCAGCATGAGTGAACAGAATGATGGTGTATCGAGCAGCTTCTTCTCCAAAGTTCTCCTGAATCCATTTCACCATGTTTTTCTCTTCTTCTGTGAATTTCACATCCAGTCTGATGACCAGTAGAAACACGTGAGGACCGGGAGCAGACATCTCTACACACTTCTTCATCTCTTTCCGCATAATATCATTCGGTGCATAAGTAAGTCCCGGCGTATCGATAATTTTTATGATCTTTCTGGCCACATTTGCTTTATGTAGTTCACAGGTTTTGGTTGCAAAATCTGCTGAATTTCTCCTCTTAAACTTCTCTTTGCCCACAATAGTGTTTCCTGCTGAGCTCTTTCCCGATCTGCTTTTACCCAGCAGAACAACCCTCGGTTTCCCAGACCCTGAAAGTCAAAATGTCAAATACAATAATTGTTAAAAATCAACGAATAAGCACTACATTTAAGTGCTTCCATGCATCTTCTAGATTCACATTGATTGCATTATGTCAGTACAAAATGATACCAAACAGGGATGAAGGCTTTTACAGGATTATGTCATGGTGAGAATGTCTTAAAGACAAACACTTACAGAACTGTTTCTTTTCCTGAGCTTTCTGGAACATTTCATTGGTGTAGTTCAGCAATCCTTTCACCTCTACAATTTTTTCAATCTTTCCCAGCAGCTCTGTAACCTGACTGTCTTGATTGTTGAATGAGTGAAATCTGTCACCACAGCGGTTCACCAGTGACTGTAGATCACTTCTCTCTTTAATATGGTCAGTTAAAGATTTTCCCTTCAGCTTATCAACATGAGTAAAGATAACTACAGTGAAATCAACAGCTTCTTCACCCAAGTTTTCCTCGATCCATTCCAGTGCACTCTTCTCTGTTTTTTTCGGTGTCTCGTCCAGTCTGATGACCAGAAGAAACACGTGAGGACCAGGAGCAGATTTGTTGATCACTTTCTCTATTTCACTCTTTATCATCTTCTCTGGTACATCAATCAGTCCTGAAGTGTTGATTATTTTCACTTTCTTTCCATGTATGTTCACTTCTTCTGCTTTGTTGGTTTTTGCAGAACTCTTTCTACTCAAAATAGTTTCTAATGTACTGGTCATTCCTGATCCAGGTTTACCCAGCAGCACAATCCAAGGTTCTGCAGACCCTGTCATTTGAATTCACACATTTACAAAGCAGATATTAGGTAAGGATTAACTAGATAGATTTAGTTTCCAAATATCTTTTACAATGGTAATACACTACCTGACAAAAGTCTTGTCGTCTATACGAGTTTTAGGAACAGCAAATAATAACTTGACTTCTAGTTGATTGTGTGGTATCAGAAGTGGCTAATATGAAAGGCAAAGGCCTCTATATTACGCTTATTATTATTATTTTTTTCAAAATAAAATTGTATCATGTCTTGAATTTTTATTATTTCATCAGGACAGTAAGGTCTGACTTTGCTTTGACTAAAGTGTCATCACTGAACAGGAATAATGTCCAGTATAGAATATAAAGTCCTGCTGCAGTGGAGACAGAATGAATGTTGTGCCTGACTCCATCATGAGCTTGGAGGACTGCATCCATACATCTCTGCACTAACTCAAATCACTGATTAATAAAGTCATCTGGAATGTCAAAAAAAGCCTTCTTACAGGACTTCTAGAGCTCATCAAGAGTCTTTGGGTTCATCTCCAGTGCCTCCTCCTTCATCTTACCCCAGACATGCTCAATAATGTTCCTATCTGGTGACTGGGCTGGCCAGCTTGACCTTCTTTGCTTTCAGGAGCTTTGATGTGGAGGCTGAAGTTTGAGAAGGAGCGCTATCCTGCTGGAGAATTGTCCCTCTCCCAGTGGTTTGTAATGTAATGGGCAGCACAAATGTCTTGATACCTCAGGCTGTTGATGTTGCAGATCTCTCCCACGCCCCCATACTGAATGTAACCCCAAACCATGACTTTTCCCTCACCAATCTTGACTGATTTCTGTGAGAATCTTGGGTCCATGCGAGTTCCAATAGGTCTTCTGCAGTATTTGTGATAATTGGAATATAGATCAATAGATGATTCATCTAAAAAAAAATTGACCTTCTGCCACTTTTCCACAGTCCATCCTTTCTGCAAGCTGTGAGGATTGGCAAATGCAACACGTTTTTTTTATTGTCTTCTGTTTAATGCTGGTTTGGGTCAATTTGACCATTGAGACCACTGCATGAGAGAATCGACAAACTGTCCTTGTAGATACATGGGTTTCTGGTAACCAGTTGTTATGTAGCTTTGCTGCAGTTGCAAAAAAGCCATGGACTGTCAAACCAATAAACAGTCCTCTCAAACTGTTGTCCTACAGGGTCTGCCTGACCTGGGCCTATCATGAAGTTCACCCGTTTCTTCTTCTTTTTTTTTTTTTACCTCTCCATTTGCCTTTAGATACATTAAAGACATCTGCCACCTCAGCAGGAAACTTGGTCTTCAGGTTCTTGAATTTTTGGCATGTTGTCAGGTCAGGATTAATTTCAAATGAAGGCTAGGTGTGTCGGGGTTCTTCTTGTACACACCTGGGAATGTGTTAATTACAGTATTTGTAACAGGTGATGCTCAAATTTGTGATTGGAGGAATCCTTTAAAGATGTGACAAGACTTTGGCTTAGCATTACATAATCAAGCCATGATCATGTTGTATTTTGGTAAAATAAGCGTAATATAGAGACCTTTGCCTTTCATATTAGCCACTTCTGATACCAAATCATCAACTAGAAGTCAACTTATTATTTGTTATTCCTACAACTTAGATAGGTGACAAGACTTTTGTCAGGTAGTGTAATACTGATGAAGGAAACAGGACAAACCACAAACACACTTACAGAACCTTTCTCTGTTTAACTTCTTCTGAGCGTCATGGTACATTTCATTAGTGTAATGCTCTCCTTTATTCTTCTTCAGCAAGATATCGATTTTATCCATCAGTTTTCTGACCTGAGAACGATCATTCATGTCTTCATTGTTGAATGAGTGATATCTGCTGCCATACTCGTCAACAAGAACCTTGAGGTGACTGCTGCTTTTGATATGCTCATCTAATGGTCTTTTGAGTGCATCAGCATGAGTAAACAGAATGATGGTGTAAGATGGAGCTTCTTCTCCAAAGTTCTCCTGAATCCATTTGACTGTGTTTTTCTCTTCTTCTGTGAATCTCACGCCCAGTCTGATGACCAGCAGAAACACATGAGGACCAGGAACAGATTTGTAGACACATTTCTCAATTTCTGGCTTCATTTCTTGTTCTGTGAGTCTTGTATCAAACAGTCCTGGAGTGTCGATGACTGAGACCTTCTTTCCATCAATCTCAACTTGTCCTCTCTCACAAGTTTTAGTAACAGAGTCTGCTGAATCATCCGCCTCAAAATTCTGTCTTCCCAGTATAGTGTTTGCAGCTGAACTCTTACCTGCTCCAGTTTTACCCAGAAGAACAATCCTGAGTTCAGGTGAAGCCGGTCCTTTCAATGAAAATATTTGTGCTGTTAATTATTTGTATATAATTAACAGTGCTGTTAAATTATTGATCACAATTAATCACATCCAAGATAAACATGTTATTTATATACATGCTATATAAGTATGTACTGTGTATACTTATGTATATGTGTAAAAATACACACACGAACTGCACATAAAATCAAGCCAGGCTTATTTTGAAAACGTAGCCCTACATACGTTTCTGGAGACCGCAACTTATGTAGGCAGAGGTATATGTGGCTGCATTTCATTTTTTAAATACAGGGTGGTATGAAGCCAGTGCTTTTCGCGCTTACCAGCTGACTGCTTACCTCCGTATGGATGGCTTTCCTGCTGTAACCAGTTTGTCTCATCAGCTCGCCGTATATGTTGGCAGACTTGAGACACAGACAGTGGTTGACCACAATGATGGGGTTCGAGTCCGGTGAAAGACGGTTCCAGAAAGCAGGTAAGACAAAAACAGAAGCCAAAAAATTAAATAAACAAGTAGATAACAAGGTGAGAAGCTGGTAAAATTTCATAAAAATCAGACAAGGGTTTTTCTTTTTCTGGATTGCTTTTAAAAATTGTTGGTTGAGTTTAAGGAAGTGGGTGGGGGAGTCAAATCAATGAAATTGTTTGGGTTTAGAAAAAGAGGAGGGTGGATTGGTTGATCAGTCAGTCAGTGAGCCAGTGAGTCGGTCAAACAGTCAGTCAACAGCGGCCTCTGATGGGTTTACGCAAGAACAGCAGGCATGAATGGCACTAGAGAGAGAAATTTGAGATCTGAAAAAGCGTACACATTGGCCTCTGGTGGAGTCGTGAAAACAAAAACTATAAAAAAACACACCTCTTGGGATGTATTTCACTGTCTTTAGAAACACATATAGGGCTACATTTTCAGAATGAGCCTATATTGCATAAAATAAAAAAATATATACAGTACAAAAGAAATATTTTTTACACACAAAATATAAATCTAAAAAAGTATTTACACACACACACACACACACACACACACATATATATATATATATATATATATATATATATATATATATATATATATATGTGTGTGTGTGTGTATGTGTAGTTGTGTGTTTTTTTTTTTTNTTTNATAAAAAAATAATATATATAAATAGANAGAGAGATATAGATAGAGAGAGATGTAGATATATATATGGNTGTGNTNTNTNTTTNTTTTTTTATTGTTAGTTTGTGTGATAGTTAGAGAGAGAGAGAGAGAGTGAGAGTGATAGTGAGTAAGTGTTTGTGAGTAAAAATATTATTATTTTTTTTTTTATTTTTATATATATATATATAGATATATATATATATATATATATATATATATATATATATATATATATATATATATATATATATATATATATATATATATATATATATATATATATATATATATATATATATATATATATATATATATATATATATATATATATATATATATTAGATTTCTTATTAGTTTTAAGTTATTATTTAATTAATAATATCATCATTTGCATTACATTTAAGTGACATGATCAATATTTTGATCAAGTAATTCACTTTTGTGCTTCTTTCATACATTAGAAAATGTCAATTGTACATTTTTCTTCTCGCAAAAGTTTTTAATTGTTATGAGTGTGACTTTGAACAGGTTTCTTGAACATGACAATGAGTTCACTGTACTCAAATGGCCTCCACAGTCACCAGATCTCAATCCAATAGAGCACCTTTGGGATGTTGTGGAGCGGGAGATTCGCATCATGGATGTGCAGCCGACAAATCTGCAGCAACTGTGTGATGCTGTCATGTCAATATGGACCAAAATCTCTAGTAAACTAGTAAGGTGTACCTAGTAAAGTGCCGGTGAGTGTACATGTCTTAGCAGTTTGGCGAGGAAGTATATCGATGTATTATGAGTATGCACTTACAGCAGCGGTGCGGTCCACTTCATTTCTGCTGCTGAGGATGAAGCAGGCCTCCGCATCATCCATCCTGCATGACACAAAACGTCAATACACATCAGCATCACAATACACAAGCAAACGCACACACACACACACACACACACACACACACACACACACACACACACACACACACACACACACACACACACACACACACACACACACACACACACACACGTTCCTATATCCTGGAGGGAACTAACATAGACATAATGATGACATAATGATTATCTACAATTTTACATTTTCAAAATCAATCTGTGTGATTCATAAGACTTTTTTAAACATGGAGACCTTAATTTTGGTCTGTGAATTCAAGTTTAAATCCCTGCAGGGATATAAAAACAAGTACACAAACACACAGGCACAACACAATGATTATTTAGATCACCACCCATCAAGTAAATTCATGTGTAGCATGAATTCTATTAAAGGTAATCAATGGCAGTTTTTTACTGTCAATGTGAAGTAAAACATGAAATTGACCGAGTCGCTGTCAATATTCTCCTGGTTTTCTTACTAATAATGATTTCAGTATGTTAGCTAAACTAAATCTGTGATATGTCCTTCATAATTTCCACTCTTCCTTCAAACACTGTTTGTAAAGCTCTTATTATGAAAGCTGGTGGTGGACGACAATAGTATTAAGGACACAACATATACCAGCCATCAAAGTATAGCCACAAAAACAGCAGTAAAATCTCTATCTATCCAGTGTAAACACAGCCGACCACTTATTTGTATCTGTAAATCTCCATCGTGTATTAATAGTCTCATACGTCATTAAAAATGCATCTGCACACAGAGTGTTACTGTAATAGCTTTGCATTTATTTGTGCGTTAAATTACAGCTACAAAATAACCTGTGCTTACTTGTGGAATGTACACTTTTTATGTTCTGTGGACATTTTGAAGAAGATATTTTGAAGTATGTGGAAACATGTAACCATTGACTTCCATAGTATTTGATTTTTTACTTTGGAATTCAATGGTTACAGGTATTTAACATTCTTCAAAATATCTTCTTTTGTTGTTTTCATTTCTTTTGTTCTGAAGATATTTTAAAGAAGATGTTTTGAAGTATGCTGAAAACCTGTAACCATTGAGTTCCACAGTATTTGATTTTTCCGACTAAGGAAGTCAACGGTTACAGGTTTTCAACATTCTTCAAAATATCTTCTTTTGTGTACAACAGAAAAAAGCTCACATTTACAAAATATACACACAAACAAACACAAACACACATAATTTATTTATTTTTTTGTTCTGAAGATATTTTAATGTTGGAAACCTGTAACCATTGACTTCCAAGTCAATGGTCACGTTTTCAACATTCTTCAAAATTTTTTCTTTTGAGTACTTTCATTTTATTTTTCTTCTGAAGATAATTTAAAGGACGTTTTGAAGTATGTTTCCCAGTAATGGGTTGCTGCTAGAAGGGCGTCCGCTGTAAAAAAAACATACTTTATGCTGAAATAGTTGGTGGTTCATTCCACTGTGGTGACTCCTGATAAATAACACGCTTTGTCGAAGGAAAATGAATGAATTAATTAATTAATTTGGAAGTATGTTGGAAACATGTAACTATTGACTTCCATAGTATTTGATTTTCCTAATATGGCAGTCAATATTTACAGGTTGCAAAAACACATACACACAGTATTACTGTAACGGCTTTGCATTAATTTATGCATTAAATTACAGCTACAAAATGACTTCTGCATATTTGTGGAATCTATACTTTTTTTCAGAAGATACTTTGAAGTATGTTGAAAACCTATAACCATTGACTTCCATAATATTTGATGTTCCTACCATGGAAGTCAATGGTTACAGATTTGCGACATTTTTCAAAATATCTCTTTTGTGTTCTAACAATTTTTATGTTCTGAAGATATTTTAAAGAAGATATTTTGAAGTATGTTGGAAACCTGTGACCATAGACTTCCATAGTTTTTGATTTTCCGATAATAAATGTCAATGGTTACAGGTTTTCAACATTCTTCAAAATATCTTCTATGTGCAACAGAAAAAACACACACACGCACACACACACACACACACACACACACACACACACACACACACACACACACACACACACACACACACACACACACACACACTCACACACGCGCACACACACACACACACACGCACACACACACACACACACACACACACACACACACACACACACACACACACACACACACACACACACACACACACACACACACACACACACACACACACACACACACACACACACACACACACACACACAGGAGCTCATTATTAACAAAACAAACTAACTGAATGAATGAAACATAAAAAGCTCCCAATTAGAATCAACATGTAAATCAGCCAGCAGAGTATCAGTAACAGACTTTTATTAGTCATTTTTGCAAATTGCATGACTTACATGTGCAATGTATGTGCGCGCGCA